TCTCACTCTGGGTCACCTGCAGATCACACACAGGAGAGAGCAATTAGAAAAGGTTCATGATGTACGTGTCTGAGCTATCCCGCCTCAGTGATTACATGAAGTGACTAAATCATGAGTTAGTCCCTGCTATCCAAATATTAGAGTGTTTTACCTATACTGAGGCACCTGGGCTCAAAACAAAGGCCAGAAGAACCAGTTTCCAAAAGCCCGTTCCTTTATGGTGGAGTTCACAATTCACTTTCCTCAAATGAATCCCTGACCTCCCTCTCCATATAGGAGGTCATTTTCCAAATAGAAAGGAAGACAGCTATACCAATTTGCTGCCATTTGGGCACAAGCTTTTTTATAATCCTCTTAAGTCCCAGGTTATTCCCGAATCTATGTTTTCAGCCCAGCAGCATAAATGTAGAATTCTTATGGGTTGTCTATAATTAAATTGGAAGTTCAGAAAAACAAGAAAGGACTACAGGGATTAAAGATAGGACAATCGACTGATGGATAGAGAGGCATGGTGAGACAAAACTGGAGGTGGTTAATAAAAGTGACAAGATCAATTACAAGATAAGAACCTAAGAAGTTGACATTATCTCAATTACCAAAGATTAGGCTAAAAACAGTAAAAGTAATTTCATTAAGCTAATTTGATTTTAACTTGGAAGGTTTAAAATTGACATATACTCTTGGTATATTGAGGTCTTCAATCATACAGCCGTAGGATAAAGACTCCAAGATTTAACAAACAAAACAATCTGGACTCTTCGTTATGACTTGCAGCACTTTGTTCTACCTGCAAAATAAGTACTGGGTTCCTTGGATCCTTGTTAGCAAGTGATATAGGCAAGCATATGTCAGTTATTTTTCAACATGTGTCAAACTCACCTGGGACCCTGGGCTGGATCTAGACCACAGGGCTCCTCATGGGCCTATTCCAGCCCAGAGAATGGGAGCAGCCACTGTAGCTACTACAGCAGTGGGTCCAGAGGCAGCAGCAGCAGGTCCAATAGCAATGGGAGAGCTCCAGGGACAAGGGTCTGGCAGTGGGTCTAGGGGTGCAATGGGAGACTGGTAGCAGCTGAGATGGCAAGCCAGCAGGGCCAAAGGGCCCTGTATTCTGTGGCAAGCCATGCTTTCTAAATTCCAGTAGCCCAGAAGGCAAGATAGAGAGGCTTCATGGAACAAATATTTGACACCCCTGTTTACAGCATGCACTCCCTGAAATTCTTGGGAATCTAGATACCATATGAAGAACTGTCCCTCATTAAAAAACTGGAACTACCACCATAGGTTCCTTCTGCTCATGAATTTCAGCACATCTTTTATTACGAAGCTTCTCCCTCCCTCACGTCCTCCCTAATTTATATATAATCAGCTAAGTAAAGAAAGTTCTGGCACTGAATTTACTTGACTACCATACACCACAGATGATGAATAGATGAAGCTACTCATGAAATGACAGAGCAGTATTTTATATTATTTAGATAACATACCTCTGCAGAAAGGTGTATGACTCAGAGCTCTGGATACCAACTTATTCTTTCATATCTGCAGAACAGATGCAGCAGGGGGAGTAGCAGTCAAGCTTTCACCAACACTAACTCAAAGTGCTTTTTGGCATACCCTTGAGTGAGGATAGGTCAGAACCTGACCTTGCTCAGGTGCAAATCAGGAACAGGTCCACTTAGATCAATGATGCAGGTGAGATTAGAGTCAGAGTCTTTGGATTAAAGCCAATAAAGGACTTCAGAATCTATAAGTCATGTGTTGCAAAGCCTAATTTAGATCCCTGAACCACTGTAGGTATCCTGGCCTAGGTGCCTAGGCCTCTTACACATGAAAAGGGAGAGTTACTCTTATTTAAAGAAACTATGGAGATGGTGCTCAACTTTCACACAGTAGCTTGGGGGTGAGGACATTTGTCTAGGAACAGGAAATGTAAAGTTCAAAGCCCTCTTCAGTCCGAGAGGACTGCAATTCACATTCTCCCCTCATGTTGAAGCAGTTTCACTAAGCAGAAAGGAATCAAGATTCCGGGATGAAAGTGAGAGAGAAAATGTAAGGAATATGATTTGTTGCTTAGTGGGAGCAGGAAATCCTGGCTTGTGGCCTTTGCTCTCAGCTCTGTTTCTGTATTTTACTGAACGGCTCAAATGCAAAAATGAATAAACAGCACGGTACAGTTCCCTTTACACATGTGGGCCCTCCTCATCATGCTTCAGTCTCACCAACTCATCTTACACTCTTT